CCTTCATCTACCATATTCACGGTAGATGAGCTAGGATTTCCATCCTTAGTTCCCTCCATGGCACGAATCCCCTCTTTAATTTGAAGGTGGGTGGCCAAACCGGACAATGTCATGTCCTCTTTCTTGTGTTTCAAATCATGTTTCACATTTTTCCAACTAGGGGGCAATTTATCAATTATGCTAGAAACAACAAACAACTCATTCATAGCAATACCATGTTGTTCTATGCTACCATAGATGCGTTGCAACTCATGAAATTGATCCATTATGGATCGACCATCAACAAATTTATAATTATTAAAATTACTAACCAAGAATTTCTTGCTTGAAGCGTCTTCCATCATGTATTTTCTATCTAAGGATTCCCAAAGCTCCTTAGCCGATTCCACATTTTGGTAGACATCAAACAAGTCATCCTCCATCCCATTCAAGATGTGACCACGACAAATGAAATCGCCGTTGTCCTATTTTGATCTTTCCCGAACGGATTCGAAGGTCTCATTCTCATGTTCATTTGGCCTTGGAGTACTTATAACATAGGCAACATTAAGAGATTTAAGAACAAAAAACATATTCTTCTTCCATCTCCTAAATTCAACACCGTCAAACTTCTTGAGTTTGACGAAGTTAGTTGTAAGTTCCTTCACACTAGACATACTTGACAATTCTAAAATTTAATCCCTTTAGATTGTTAGGTTTACATTGAATTTCTAACTAGAAATCACTTATAATATCAAGAAATACTTAATAAAATGTGTGGGAAACAAAACCTAAAGATATAATTACAAGACAAAGTAATGTAATTAAACAAACACAACAATGGTGTTCCAATCAAGTATTATAATCTATGAAATTACAGAAATTTCAAAAGAAAACACCAGTAAGAAGATTAATTACACTTGCCTAAAACTCCAAGCCGAAGAACCACACATGAACATGAGAATCGCAATGCCCCTTGAGACTATGATCTTGATACACTGTCAAAGGCGTATGAATACTTTCCTAAAGGGATTAATTTCCCCCACACGGTGCTAGGGTTAATCCGGAAATTCCCTTTGAGATACAATTGACAGCCCTTTCCGTTCTTAGCACGAAGAATCGAAAAACCGATGAAGGATTCACAAAGATGGCTAAAATCAAGAGGTTTTTCTCAAAATAGTTTGCAAGAAAATTTAGAGAAAAATGGAGAATTCTTGGGGAGAAGATGAGAGAATGATATTCTGTCTAACACCTTTCAAAAAATCGAAAATCCTTATAAAATAGAATCAACCGTCGTATAAAACCGCAAAACGGCAAGAAGCGCGGGCGCGAGCGAAGAGGCGCGGGCGCGCCACCATGGGGTGCGGGCGCGCTTCCTTCTTTGCCTAAAAATTCGTTTTTTCCAGAAAGTTAGCGCGATTTATGCGCGGTTTGGGCGCGGGTCGCGCCATGCCATGACGCAGGCGCGCCTCCAAACTTTTCCAGATTTTCCAGAAACTCATCGCGGTTTATGCGCGGTTTTGTCGCGGGTCGCGCCTAGCTAGCGCGAGCGCGATTCCATAGAGCGAACGCTCCATTCCGACACTCTAAATTATTAACAGAAGGATGATTAGACTAAGACAAAAGACTTATATCGATAAGGTTCTTGCGAGGTTCAGCATGGAAAACTCTAAAAGAGGATTCATTCCCATGTCACATGGCATCTCGCTTAGCAAGAATTAGTGCCCATCGGAGCCTGGTGAATTGAAGCGGATGAGTAGCATACCTTACGCCTCGGCTGTAGGTTCTATCATGTATGCCATGATAACTCGACCAGATGTTGCATATGCTCTAAGCTTATGTAGCAGGTTCCAAGAAAATCCGGGTGAAGCACACTGGACTGCGGCTATGAGCATCCTGAAGTACTTGAGAAGGACTAAAGGAATGTTCATGATCTATGGAGGAGATAATGAGTTAGTTGTTAAAGGTTATACTGATGCGAGCTTCCAAACCGACAGAGATGATTACCGCTCATAATCAGGGTACTTCTTTTGTTTGAATGGAGGAGCAATGAGCTGGAAGAGTTCGAATCAAGGCACTGTAGCAGACTCTACGACAGAATAAGAATATTTAGAAACGGTTGAAGCAGCTAAGGAGGTTGTTTGGATAAAGAAGTTCCTAATTGAGCTAGGCATCGTACCTAGTGCTCTAGAAAGGATTGAATTGTTTTGTGATAATAATGGCGCTATTTCACAAGCAAAAGAACCAAGATCGCGTAACAAATCCAAGCATGTAATGAGGAAATATTACCTCATTCGCGAGATTGTAGACAGGAAGGATGTCAAGATCTGCAAAGTTCACACGAATGAGAATGTTGCTGATCCACTCACTAAACCTCTACCTCAACCCAAGCATTAAAGTCATGCTAGGGCTATAGGGTTGAAGCAAGTGTTAGAATGGCTTTAGATTGTTTTATGTTAGAGAAACTTGTTACAATTTAAAGACATGGTTTTGCTAATTTATGTTTATATGGAATGAAATTTTTTTCTTATTTAATTTTGGTTTAGTATTAAATAAAATGTCCAATATATTTTATTGAATTTAATGGGTTTATCAAATACGTGATTTGATGAATGAAACCCCATAAGTGAACTAAATTCATAGAATATTTAAGTTCCTAATCCGAGTCGTTAAATTGGATATAAACGACTTAATAAAAGGATTAGCATATAAGATTGATTGGTAGCGCTGTTTCATGGGCTGTGGAAACATGGAGATGTTTAGTCAATCATATGGATATGTATAGTTGATATATGATCGAACAGACCTACTTAGAAGTTCTAAAACTTCACAATTATATTAGTGGATTCCTAAGACATGAGTGGAACACTACTTAGCTCAATGATTAGTGTAACTTTGATGTTGTCAAACGTCATGCTGTAAAAGGGGACTATAAAGGCAGCACTCGAGTTGTGCTAAAAGTTGAGTGGGATTTTTGGTTGCCACAAGATTGAATAGGTCCTCCTATGTTAGATAGGATGGGTATCTTGGCCTCTTGAAGAGTAAGAATTGAAAATGCATGGTCGTGCTCAAATGAATCATGAGATGATAATTTGTTTAGCAATTCAAACTCGGATTTCAAGAAATAATTTGAAGGGCTAGTATGGATAACATAGAGTTGTAATCATGCTATCAAATTAGACACTAAGAGACTTAAGGAATTTGAATATTGCACACTTGTCTCGGACAAGTGGGAGATTGAAGGAAATGTTTCCTCGACTCTAGTGCAATTACTAAATATAATTTGGATCGTATTTTAGAGATATAATTCGCTTATTTGGGTCGTCTTTACGTCTTGCTAGAGAATGCTATAGACCTTCAAGGTTAGAATGAAATAAACCCGAAGCCCACCTAAACGAATCCTACAAGGTCTCACATTAGGTTTGGATCAATAAAGAAACCCGAAGCCTAAAGAGGGACTTAGGGTGGCCGGCCAAGAGAGGATAAGGGAGAAGAAAACCTAACCTAATTAATCTAATGAGATTATACTAATGAGATTATATTAAATAGGTGTTTTAGAAAAAAAAAATATACAGTATTTAGTTTTCTAAAGCAACGTAATATTTTTCCTCTCAAAATTCTCTCTCTCAAAGCCAGTTCTCTACTCCAAGAAAGGTGAAAGTTTTTCCCGTCCAACTAGCATTGGTGGAGCATTGATTCAAGCCGGTGGACCGAATAGAGGAGTCACGCTTGAGGCTCTTTATCTCCCGTAGAGAAGAAGATTGCTAAGAGGATTCAAGCTTCAAATTCTAAAATATTATGTGATCCTTAATTTGTATATGCATGAGATCCTGTTTAGGTGCATATGAATGAGATTCGTGAAATTCCGCTTAGAGTACCTAAAACCCTACAAGTACGTATTTCTCTCATTCCCTTTTAATTGTAATGTTCTAAAATCTACATTAGCTCATGAATTAATTAACTTATTGATTAACACGTCCATAAACTCTTAGCAAATTCTCGTATTTAATTATTCTAAGTGATTGGGGATTTAGATCTTCGAAGGGATCTATCGAATCAAGATAGGCCAATCCCAAGTCGAACTTTCATTTTTTGACCCAAAAGTAAATAGAATTTGATATTTGAGGATCAAGGAGTGGGGGGTGGTTAATTAGATCTTCCATCTACCCCTAAGTGGTGAGGGTTCGATCCTCATCCCCTTCTATGATACGAGGGGGCTCCCCATATTTTACAGTTAAAAAAATAAATAGAATTTGATATTTGATTCAACAACAAATCAAAATAATCAAACATACATCAACAAATCCCGCCCTACATTTGACCAACATGGACACTAGTCACACAATGACCCCTATAACCTTATTTCAATATTCCTCATGATTCAACTAAATCTAACTCGAACAGCTCTACTTCGTTCAATTACACATTCTGTTGCCTGTGTCAAGGAAGGCTGCTTTTCCCTGGCCACTTCGCCACCTTTGTTTGGTACGTAGTTTGTCAAAGAAAATCGATGATGATATATACTTCTTATATTGTACTCTGTATATATAACTAACCTGGGCCTAAACTTCATTTCAAACTTCTCCTATAGCCCAAAGGGCCTAACGGTAATGCACGTACAAAAAATAATATATACAATGTTGCATTTATTTATGACAATAAATAATTCTCTTTGCTCTCCAAATCAAAGCAAAAGTTGCTGTTACTTACTTGGACTGTTATGTACGTAGTACAATATATACTCACTCGAATCCAACTTAATATAGGAAGGACTTCAATCTGTACAATTTGGGCCCCCAAAACTAATAGGGTCCATTATGAGTAGTGTCCATCAAACTCAGAAACCCAAACCCCAAGAAAGTACCTATCAGTGGTCCACCAAGACACCTGATCCATGGGCCACAGCATTTAAATTTTTGGTCCAGGCTTATCAGAAGATGGTGCCAGACTGTCAAGAGCTAGGCTATAAATCTTTTATGCAAATTGCTTTCTTACATTAATGAATATTCAATTACTACTGGCTAGCCTAAAATGAAAAAATACAAGTTTATCTCCATGGTGTACAAATTCGCAAAAAACTTTTACAGTGTAAATCTGCTATTTGAAGCAGTGGTTTTAAGTAAAATCGTTGCGTGATGAACGAAACTTGTTTATCATGGAGATTAATTAAGGTGCCTTCAAAATTAAATAATCCATATAATTTTGCAAAAAAAAAAATAAAAAAAATAAATAAACCTATGTATTCAAGAAGAAAATAGAAAGCTGTTTGTTGCTGTACAAAATCCTATCTAATATCACATCCATTATTAAGTTAGAACTACATATATGCCTATAATCTCTACATACCTACAATTCCTTCAGATTGAAGATTATTTTTTGATTCCACAATCCATGACATGAGCCAATCCATATCATAAAAGTATGAATTAAAATTTATATTTGACAAATGAATTAATCCCAAATCACCTCTCAATATTTTGCATTTTTTTTAAAAATTGTTTAGTTAATGTCATTTGTCACGGACATTAGTTTTACAGGGAAACTAACCACTAGTAGTAACTAGTAAGAAGCAAAGCGCGTAGAATGCCAAAAATGAGCAACAACCAAAGCAATCAAACCAAAAATTACATACAAACAAACAAACACCAAACCATTTAACCAAAACTGCAACTAAATACCAACAGACACTGTTAACATAAAAGAAGAACTCTGATCACAACACCCCCATTTACCCTCCTTTCCAATCACCCTCTTCTATTCCTATTGTCCAATTTACCCCTTCTATTTTACTCGTCCCATTTTTCTCCAAATTACCAAATTTATTCGTCCTATCTACATTTATAAAAACTTTTTTTTTTCTCTTGAGTTAGGTTCCACACTCCCGCTCATTATTTATTTTATTTACTCATTTCACTTGCATAAAATCCAATACAACTAATACAAGTATGAATAACGAAAAACCAAGTAATTTGAGATAGAGGTGTAAAAGAATATGAGTAATTAATACGAGTAATAAAAAAGAAAATAACATAAAAAGCAGATTGTAGCATAGGCATTTACCATTCTCGTTCTCCTCAATACCATACTATATCTAGGAACACTCAAAACACACTTTTCTCTTCTCCATTTTCCCTTCATTTCTTCATTTTAGCATCATCTTCAACAATTAAACAAATACCCACCAAATAATTTACAAAACAAAAAAATGCATGCGAAAACAGATTCAGATGTAACAAGTATGGCAACAGTAAGCCCACCAAGATCACCCTCAAGAAGAGTAGTATACTACGTTGAAAGTCCATCTTATTCACAACAAGACCTCGACAAACTATCATACGCAACACTAAGTCCACCTACTTCTCCTACAAGAAACTACCATTGTTCTCCAATTCACCATTCTCGAGAATCTTCTACTTCTAGATTGTTCTCTTCCACTTCCCTCAAACAGCATTACCACCGCCGTGCCGGAAGTGGGTGGCGCCGGATTTACGGCGGACTCCGGTTGGATTACGGCGGCGCCGGCGATGAGGAGAGAGATTGTGAGGAGGAAGAAGATGAGGAGGATGGTGGGCCTAGTTGGAGGTTTTATGTGGGGTGTTTTATGATTTCGTTTATTGGGTTGTTTACTGTTTTTTCTTTGATTCTTTGGGGGGCTGCTAAGTCTTTTCACCCTCATATTCTCGTCAAGGTCAGTCTTTCTTTCAATCTTTTCTCTAAAATTTTTTTTAAAAAAAAAAAAACAAAAAACTCTTCTGCTTCTGCAAATCCCCTGTTTATGATTTTGACTCGGATGACTCACTGAGTCAACTCGGTGGTTTCATTAACCTAATGTTTTTTTTTGGGTTCTAATAAGTTATTTAAATTTGCAAATTACAAAGGGTTGGGTTCAAACTTGTGACCTATTGTACACGTCTTCTTCCCATTTTAGTTGAATATTTCTCTTTTAATTGTACAAGTTCAACAAATCAAATAAGCATATTTTCTAATTTGATTTTAATTTAATGAATCACACGTAAATTATTGTATTGTTTATAAAAATCAATGAGTACGTGTAAAATAATTCTAACAAAATCTTGTAAAATTACATTTTATTGTGAATGTATCAATTAAAATTCCCATACATAGCGAAATAAATTAAAACTTTTTAGCTAAAAAACGGAAGTATTCAGTGTGACATTGGCAAGACACTAAATTCTATTGTAGGAGCATGGGTAGTTCTGAAAAAGTGAAACCTTGGGAATTATTTTTCTTTTTTCCTTATTTTGTGTTAGTTTGTATGACGAGTGGTTGTTGACTAAGTCAAACATGTGAGACTAACTGAGTCAACTCGTGAGCTATTGTTATGATAATGTTTGGATGGATATTCAGGGTTAAACTAGTCATTTTCAGTTATAATTTTGCTTTAAAGGACGTAGTAGCACCCACCAGTTGCAGGACTGTAGGAAACACTGATCACTTTCGTTTAAAGTTGGGCTCTTTTAATTTGTTTTAGTCAGAATATGAACCGAGTTGGTTTTTTAGGTTCGAGTTCACTGAGTTAACTCGGTGTCTCGTCCTATGAGAACTGCGCACATGACCTCATGGTTTTGACTCTTTTTCCCACATGCTCATGGATTAAACGGATATATTTTTTAAAAATTAATATTTTGAAAGAATGTTTTTTTGGTAAACTAAATCAAATGAAATTTCAGAAATTGGGGATAAGATGAAGACTAATGAATAAATTATTAATGAATAAATTATTTTAATGAATAAATTTTTTGGTAAACTAATGAATAAATTATTAAGTAATTGAATAATGATTTTAATGATGTAGAACATGGTGTTCCTGGATTACACAATACAAGCAGGAATGGACGGCACAGGAGTTCCGACAGATATGCTGTCTCTTAATTCGACGGTCAGGATTTCCTACAAGAATCCCGCCACTTTTTTTGGAGTCCACGTCACTTCCACCCCTTTTGAACTCTACTACTATCAACTCAAAGTTGCTTCTGGTCAGGTATTTGTCTTCATTCCTATTATTTTTTCTTGTTATTTTGCGAGTTGAGTATTAGGTGACTAACATATTAGCCATTTCGAGCACACGAAGTAACTTTATTAAGTGTATCAATGTATGATTAGTTGCTCTATGCATAAACATTAGTTCCTAAATATGGTTGTTGGCTTATTGTTTGACTTTTGTGATCCATAGGATTAAGGATTTAATTGCATTTTAATAGTCTAATTGTATAGGTATTCGTGACACGCCTAGTGAATTTCACATTCAAATACTAGGGCCTTGTGTTGTTTAGATATATGTCAATGTCATGTTTAATGTGATGGCTTGGTTATGGGTAATTGGGTATGGTTGCATGTTTCTTCAATTTTAAAGCAAGCTTCTACATTATTAGCTGTGAGACTGTGACCTTGGACTTCTTCAGTAGTGTGAAAATATCGAAATTGCATCGGTTTGTTTCCGTAGTTATAACAATTTCACAGCTAAGGAAGGCTGAATATTGATGAGGATGTATTAAACAATAAACATGTGAACATCCTTAATTTTCACAGGCCACGGAATTCGGAGACAAGCCTTGAAGATTGAGTATTTGAGTCTATATTTATGTGTTTCGAGGTAATATCATTTTTGTAGTGTATGCCCTTGCAAATGGAAAATTGAGTATTGATAAAAATTTAGTATACTTCCCAAGGTGAAAATTAAAGAAGAAGGCATAATGGTGATTTATTTCTATGTGATTTCCTTGGAATAGTATACTTTTGCGAGTCTGAAATTTCATTCGGATGGATGGTGTAGGCGGAGTTCTTGACTTGGTTTTGTTAGTTGTTAATTGTTGTTAAATTAGGATTCTGTTTATCATCTTCTTGTTTCTTTCATCAAAATTTATTACCGTGGTGTTAATGATATTTTACCTGAATTTTTTAGATGAAGAAGTTCTACCAGAAAAGGAAGAGTCATTCGAACATAACCACAGTTGTGCATGGACATCAAATCCCTCTCTATGGAGGAATGTCAGTTGTATCCGATGCAATGAAAGGTAACAACTTGCATAACAAGAAAGTGAATGTGGGGTTGAATTTAACATTTACTCTGCGATCAAGGGCTTACATTCTAGGGAGGCTGGTTAAGTCTAAGTTCTATAAGCATATCAGATGCCCTGTCACGTTAGATAGCACTCGTCTTGGCAAACCCAAGAATCTGTTACACTCCTGTGTTTATGGTGAGTGAATGTTCGAGCCCATAATTATGAAAACATTAACAGCAGATTAATACTAGATTTAATGTTTTGCTGATCATTTGGTTTGTAGCTTAGGAAGAGAAAGTAAATACTAACACTTATTTTTGTTGTTGGTTTTGGAAGTGTACTTAAACAAAGCTTTGTCTTCAAGGAATTATCTGACATTGCTGAAAGCATTTGTTATTGAATTAATTATTTGGGCCTTTTAGAATTTATTTACAGTAGCATCCTTCTGTAGATGAGCATCTCTCTATTTCTTATGCAAGTAGAATATTAGTCCCTACTACTTATCAAGTATGGCTTGGCCTTTGGCAGAGATTTTTGTTTCCTACCTGATTAGTCAGGTCATTTTTACGGGTCTGCCAGCCAGGCTTGATGACTGATGCCCCAGGTCGAAATGGGCCGGATTATTAGGCCACGGCCTGTCCTAGCCATGTCCATATCTGCCAGTCTCAGAGTAGAAAGGGAACATCAAGCTGTTACCCCTCCAAAAAAAAAAAAAAATTGAATAGCAGCTCATGCAGTCCATACTTGTTGAACTCTTTGTTACTTAAGTACTTGGATTTTTATCAAGTTGAGGTTTGGAGGAAACCTGCTTTAGGAATTCAATGGTTGTTTCAATCTTTCAAGGCTCAACATTCACTGGTTTATTGCGGAAGTGTGCTAAAAAATTCAGATTCTGCTTACTGTATTACTAAGTTGGGAATGTTGATGTTAATCTGGGTTTCCTTCTTTCCAATCAATTTTGTTGTAGTACCTTTAAGTGGTGAAATGTTTTCCTATGAGCTTATTTAGGTTAGATTACTATAGGACCTTTGATAGACTTTCACTTCCCAGACTTTGAACTGGCAACTTCTAGCATTTGGAACCTCCAATTTTTGTATGGTTGACAGATAGTTTCTTAGTGCCAAATTCAGCCGTTTTATATAATAGTTCTATGGAGTGCTCCAACAAGAAGTGTTTAAGTGTCTGCTCATGTTTGAGTCTCAAGGATACAACACGGGTACTTGGAGTTAATTAGAGTTAGATGTGAGAGTTGTTGCAAGTCTTACACATAGCTTAGGGAATGGAAATAAGCAAAATCAAAATCCAAAGCAGAAGATAGAATATATAGCAAAAGCTGGAATTAAATAACAAGAGCTAACGATATGAAACAATGAAACACAAAGTGAAACCAAATTGCACAAAGCTGGGAAAACACTGAATTGCAGAATACAAAGCTTAACACTTAACAGACTTTAGGACATAAAAATAATAATACCAGCAAACCACCAAGAGGATGATCAACTAATGGTCTTTCTTGACTGCTTCGCTATCCTTATGTCCACCGGGAAGCTTATCTTTGATCTTCTCTAAGAACCCTCTCTTCTCCTGGGCTTCATGTGAACCCCCACATTGCCCATCAGACCCACAGTGTGCCACCACTGGAGGTTGAGGAGCAGCAGGAGCTGGTGCAGGTGCAGGTACAGGTACAGGTGCAACTGCGTCATCCTTGTGATGCCCCGGCAACTTCTCTTTGATCATTTCCAGAAAGCCCTTCTTTTCCTCCGGGTGTGTTGCCTCAGCAGTTACAGTTGCAGGCTGATGATGGTCATCGTAATCACTTACTGGAGTGGCAGCGGCTTCATCTTTGTGATCTGGTAGCTTTTCCTTGATCTTGTCTGTTAGGCCCTTCTTCTTCTTCCTCTTTACTTTCACTCCATCTTCCTCCACTTCTTCCTCTGACTATAAAAATCCATGTTATAAAAAAAGAACAGTTAAAAATCATTCTGTGAAATTGAATCTTTCACTATGAAAATTTATTTCCAACATAGTAAAGCTCTTACCGAGCTAGAGCTGCTACTATTTAGATAGACCTTTTCTTCCTCTGCCTTTTCTACCTTCTCTTTCGGGTTCTCTTCCTTCTTTCCAAAGCAATCAAAGAGACCGCGATCCTTAGCATTGATCTCAGTGGTTTCATTTTCAAATTGGTCTGACATACTGCTGGTTGGTAATAATAAACCCGAAACAAAGTTATTCTAAGCTTAATATGTAGTAGTAATAGAGGTTATACTTGGGATTTTTTTTTAGATGAATGTAATTTTCTTTGTTGGTGATTACACTTTGGACTTGGCTGGCTTTTTATAGAAGAAGAGGAGCACCGACAAGTTAAACTACTCAGCTTGGCACTTGATCTTACAAATTAAGTAATTAAAATTTCTGCATATTTTTGTGTGCAAAATCCAAGTAGTGAATATTTTTTTTGCATTGTTTGCCTGATGTTTTGTGAGAGGGGATGAATCTGCTAAAATGTCGGTCCATCGACCAAAGTTAAGCTAGAATGGTCGGTTTGGCGAGTCTGCAGCGTATTAAGTTAAGCCATGTGCCTGCTGCGATTTGGTGTGACCTTGAGATTGAGAATACAGGACATACTGGATTTGTAAAAATGACCTAGAAAGGAGGATACAATGCTTCAGTTCCTAGATCTTTCTTGTTTATAATACTTTCAGTACAAGTTCTATATACTATAGTACTATTTCATTCGACTTTGAAATGATTTTGATAAAAAATTTCCATCAAAGTTAAATGCAAGTTACAATTTCTCTTAGATTATTATGGTTTAGGATGGAAAAAATTGGCAGAAAGGCCCTTGGTTACAAGATTATATATAGCTGCAACGATTAATAATACGCTTAACAGAATGCCTAAACTGCCAAGAACCAAGTTAAGAAACCACATTGTGCTGAATTTACTTGGTTTCTTGATAGTAATCCACATGAAACACGGGTAAGCAAAGGTAACTGACAATGCAATCCCTCCGATTAGTGGTGCTAGGACGGGCAAGAAAGGAACAGCAACTGCTATAAAAAAGACCAGCCCTCCAAAAAATATCCTTAAACCTGCTCTTAGCCACCAGGTGCAGGGCTTCTTCTGTATGCTCACATAGCGTAACTCAAAGTTGTCAAAAAACTGGCATCGCGTAAACTTGAAATGAACACAAGCTGTTTATGATGAGGAAGAAGTTTATTATGGCTAGCTTCAACTTTGAGCTGTGATTTCCATGAAATTGTGCAAATGCTTTCAACATCCCTGTATTTGGCATCTGAAATACAAATTTGCTATTAAAACATTGTATTTTTTTGAGAAAATTAAGATAAAGACAAATTTTGTTTTAGTTAAAAAGTTTAAAGTAAATTACCAAGGTTCCATATGTCCAATATCCACCAATTGCTAAGGGAAAAAGACACATAGCTATTAGTGCATATGTTATTTTCACTCCTTTCCACATTATTTTGTGGGTTGGATCTTTTAAACTTGGTGGAAGTGTTCCCTGAAACATCACAATCGTTACATTAATTTCTAAAGTTCATCATGAGTTTATTATAGTGGAAGTAATATGAAGAGTTTATTATAGTGAAGTAATATGAAGTATGCATATTGACTTAATGGAAGTTGGACGGATATAATAAGTTCAGTATGGACTTGTAAATTAATTTTTTTATAGAATGAAATGTGTCCTATTATTTAAGGACGGATGACTAATGAAGTAATAAGTCTATGAAAAATAATATTAATATTATTGAAATATAAAAAAGGACATATTGATCACAAATTCATACCTGTATCTCAAGCACAAGATTATGACCTCTGAAAGAAAAGGCAATTATCCCAAGAGCAGAAAGAACATTTGTAACTGATTTCATTTCCGATTCAGAACCCCTTGCAGAAAGGCTGTATTTTGTGCCTGAAGGTCTACCATTGCTGATAGACATGATCCAGATAATAGTGCAGTAAACTACAGCTGAAATCGCGCTAACTAGTGACACCCAAGCCACTGAATTAAAGTTAGGAAGTTGGGCTATAACAATGGCCAAACATATGAATACCAAGTACCATTCTACAGTAGTTAGTGACTTTACATGACAAATATTGTCATTTTCACATAATATATGATATAAATGTTGCATTGTGCCACCACCAGTTATAAGAAGTGTTACACAGGTTCCTCCTGAAAGGTACATTACTGGAAATAGAGCAAGCAATTTCCCCAGCTTAGGACCTGCATTTACATAAACAAGACAAAATTGTTTTTGAGTCACAACCCAGCAAGAAATATACTTTCTCCGTTCCCCTAATATTACAACATGAGGATTGTACACGGATTTTAAGGAGAGGAGAAATAGAAAGGAATAAAGATAGGGACTCATGTGATGAGAAGAGAAAACATGTACAAATAAGAAAATGATGCAATGTTTGTGAAACTTTTTAAAATGGTAATTGTTGTAATATTAAGGAAATAGAGGAAGTAATATACTCTCTCATACATTGTATCTTAGGAATAAAATAGAAATGTGACATTTTTTTTTTTTTTAGTGACGGACATAAAATATACGGAGTATAAAAATAGGGAAATGAGGAATGGACTTACCAAATGCTGCCATAGCCAATTGGAGGTATCGGCTGTAGCGAAAGCCCGAGGGGGATTCATGCAGTTGGGTAAGAAGCCATATGGTGTAAAGTTGCCATATGAATGCAGTTGACAACCATGAGATTCCCCAAGCCCTGAAGTTAAATTAATTTTGAAAAATATGTCAAAATATTGTTAGAGTAGTCTTTATAATAGGTTTTGTGAATGATGGGAAATTAGTCCCACATTGATAGAATAGAAGTTGATTATATAGGTTAGTCTATATATCTAAATGTTGGATTGGTCGAATAGAATAAGTTAGCTTATTCAATTCTTTTTAACTTGTTGGAAAAATGTTCCCACATTGGTTGAATAGAGGATATTAGCTTACTCTATTCTATTTAACTTGATATTGGGAAGAAACTCCCACATTGGTTAAATAGAGGATATTAGCTTACTCTATCCTATTTAACTTGATGTTGGGAAGGAACTCCCACATTGGTTAAATGGAAAAGGTTAACTTGAAGCTAGTTTATAAAGGTTAGCTTGACGCTAGTTTATAAGTTACTCTATTCTATTTATCTTGAAGTTTGGAAAAAACTCTCACATGGCCACATTGGTTAAATAAAAAAATTTAACTTGGAACTAGTCTATAAGTTTAATATTTGGAGCATAACAAATTTTAACGTGTGTTATGGTTTATGACTACAGGCCCAATTGATCGGGCTTTGCTCGGTCGGGCGCAAACATATACTTAGGAAAATAATATTTGCTCGTCGATAGGGCTAAGTTAGCCTGGTTGGGCGCGAGAGCAATCTTATTTTCTGAAGTATTGATGGCTTGACCGGGCGCGAGCCTAGTTAAAAGATTCGTCTGTTTATTTGCCCTATCGGTTGAGTGTAAGTGATAAGTTTCTTACCGTTAAATTGATTAGGATAATAGTAATTATTTATTAAAAGTCAGATTATCTTAATTAATTATTTTTTGAAAATGGTGACTCTTGGACTGAAAGGCTATTCATTATATATTTTAATGACTCCAAAATTATAACTTACTTTTTACCTTTTATCTTCTTCTTCCTTTTCTATTCTAATTGTTCTTAAAGTGTTTTTTGGGAGTTCAATTACATTGCTTTAATTGATCTCAAACTTAGGGAAAATTCTGGAAGCATATTACCAGTAACCCATAACAATCATAGTGGGGGTTAAAATTGCTTTAAGGACAGTGTAAACACGTCCCTAATTCTTTATCCCCATAATTATTTTCTAACAAAAATTATTTCTCCTACATTAATATTTGACCCAAAGTCAACCATAATTTCCTCAATAGAATTATGGAAATAGAAAAAATATCTATTGACCTTAATGACGACAATTTAAGTACTAAATAAGTATATAATTACGTCACGTATACTTTAACTGCTTGGATATGTTATTTATTTATTTACAAGCATTTGGTTTTTTCATGTGACATACTCATTGCAGAACTTAATTGCATTAATTTGGTAAGGGTAGAAATATGTGCATGACTCAATAAAATTTGGTCGTTGGTATAGTGCATGTAATTCTATTGAGGAAACTACGGTTGACTTTGGGTCAAATATAAATGTAAACCAAGGCAAGTTATAACTCAATAGACCGTGACAGGCGAGGAATTCTCTGCTAATATCTGCTCTTGTCAAACAGTCGTAACCAAATTCCAAATACCATGAACTTGTACTATTTACACATTCATAAATAGTATCTCTGAAATTGAATGCGTCAAAAAGCTTAATTATTTTTTTCAATTTTTAATCGATCAAAATTCCATACTTATAAAATAATTGACTTAAATTAAAAGTAAAGTTAGGGCTGTTTCTAATGATTAAACTTTAGGAATATATTAATCAGCCACTAACCATCAAATAACTAATATTTCAACAAAAAAGTGTTGTTTCGGATGAAAACAATCGAATCTCGGAAGATCCTTTTATCTTGAGGGAACTTGGTCTCGGTCCGGACGACGCAGGAGCCGAGGGTTTCCTGCACAACAAATACACGTAAACTAGCCTCGGGGGGGACGCCGAGGAAGGCCCCTCCGATGCTTAAGTCAGTATATTAGAGAGAGAAAGCTGTGCAAGAGTTTAGTTGCTTGAGGCTTTTGTGTCTTTGTCTTTGTCTTACTCTTCTTACCAAGAATTGACCAAATTGTTGGCTTTTATACCTTGGTTAATGAAGGAGGCGGATTGGGCCCGGAAGTCAGTTGGGCTGGGCCAAGCTGATTGGGCCGTTGACTGACCTTGACATGGCTTTGAGGATGTTGATTTTTGACTTTAGCATATTTGGAGAGTTGAACCTTTGCCTTGGGCTTTTAATTGGATCATTCAGTGACCAGGCCCAATTGGACTAAATTGGACCCAAACAACTTGCCCCCCAGACCCGATTTGGAAGGATGACGGGTCGGGTTTGATTTAACCAGAAAAGGAGGGAAGTGAATGATTTGCTGATCCAAAAATGTGAATTTAAACCGTAATTAACCCATGATTAATGAGATAACAACAGTTAATGTGGGTGATTGCGGAAAAATTCCAAATCGGGTCTGGGGGGCAAGTTGTTTGGGTCCAATTTAGTCCAATTGGGCCTGGTCACTGAATGATCCAATTAAAAGCCCAAGGCAAAGGTTCAACTCTCCAAATATGCTAAAGTCAAAAATCAACATCCTCAAAGCCATGT